CCCCCCCCCAAACACCCCAAGACCCCAGCCCTCTTGGAGACGGGTCATTTACATGGTTCACAAGACCTCGGGTTTACAAGACGGCGGGGTTCACAAGACGGCGGGGTTCACAAGACCTCTGGTTGGTGCAGGTATGATGAAGAAGATGATGGAGAACATGTCTCAGGTAATGTCGCCTGACCTGTTGTCGTTGGCGAGTAACCCGGAGTTGCAGCAGCTGAAGTCGCGGCCTGAACGGCTCTTCGGGCCGGGTGTGAATGGCGCTCCCGTGGAGGCGGGAGGGTTGGGGGACGCCTGGAAGCGTTGGAAGGTGATCTATCCGGAGTATCTGGACAGTCGTCTAACGTGCCGAGAAGGCCGACGGTTGCAGCAAGAGGCATGTGTGCCCGACGTCTCAATCCAGGATGTTTTGCGCGCTCTTGCCCAGCTCGATTTCCCGTACGTCTTCGAAAACAAGCGCTACCCCCGACGCGTCTACGCAGACGGCGGCCGAGTCAAAGTAGGCTTCGCAGGGACCAGGACCGAGCTCTACCTTGCCGTGGCCGTGGCCATCATGATCAACCGGCAGCAGGAGGAAGAAACTGCCGTGGGAGACCAGGGTCAACCGCCCGCCCTGACCCAGACTTCTCACTTACCGTCCACAACGGTCGACCAGCAACGACTCGACCAACAACGGACCGACCAGCAACGGACGGACCAGCAACAAGGGGCATCGGCTAGGCAACACCCAGACGGCACCGGACCACCCAAGAAGCGGTATGACACCAGGAAAAAGAAGGGAACGAAACGAACAGACCGTTAAACGAAACAGAATGCTCAAGGAACAGAATGTTAAAATAGAACATGGATACTCTAAGAACAAAACGCTAAAGGAAGGTATTGCTGGTCGCTGGGTTGTTTCCGCGTCCTTTGATCCCCTCTCTTGATCTTGTCCTTTGATCCAACTCATATGAGCTCGGGTCTTGGCGTGCGCTATAGAACCAGGATCTGGAGACGTGATGTGGAGTCATGGTCTGGAAGCAACCCCCGCACGGGATATAGAACTGGACGGTGACGTGGTGCGGCGCGGGGGGGCACGGCACGGGTCGGAGTTCAGTTTTCTGAGGCGACCAGCGCGGCTCTTAGGCGCCGTCTGATCTATCCCACGGAACCCTTTACGTCCGAACGTCTCTCCGCCCGAACGTCTATCCGCCCGAACGTCTATCCGCCCGAACGTCTATCCGCCCGAGTGGAACCCGTTCCGTCTTAACACAGCCCTTCCCGTCCTCTCCGGCCGGCCCGTCCAGATGGCGTTTTCTCATTTTTGCTTCGACCTTTTGGGTCGGTGCGGTACAGACAAAATCAATGACAAAATCGGAGCCTGGAGGTGGGCGTCGGCGTCACCACTATGGCGGACTGTTGAATGCGTTATCGGAAAGACATGGGGAGGCTGTTTTGCGAGAGAAGCGGCCGAGTGGTGTGCCGAGCTGGATGCGCGGGGAAGGCCGACGAGGAGATATGTTGTCGGAGTTGGTGGATAAGGACTTGACTCTTACGGCGGCTGAGGTACAGGTCCTTCTTCAACATGAAACCAGAGACCTAGACAATGACCTCCGCCGGGTCCCGATAGAATTAAACTGTCCCCGACCACCGCGAACCACAGCCACTTGGGACGCTGCCCATCACCCCACCTCTTTTCACGCACTTATCAACCTGCTGCAACACATTCCCCTCGAGCTCGACTACATCCAACAGGCACTGGACCTCGACAGACCTGCAATCAAGTGGGAAGGATGCCCTCCTCTACCCCTCACAGGCCTGGAACCAATAAGGGAACCAATAAGGGAACCAATAAGGGAACCAATAAGGGAACCAATAAGGGAACAAGCAGGTGAACCAATAAGGGAACAGACAAGGGAACTGAAGCCAGCGGTCATTGTCAACCCAGGCACTAGGACGGACGTTGAAACGGGGAGAGGACCGAGTCAACTTGCTCTTGCCGTCGACTCAACCCCACGGACAACTACGGAGCTGTTGTGGAGAATCATCTTCGGCGTGGCACGATTGTTGAGAAAATCCAATCAGAGTCAACACGGTCTCTCTCGACCAACAAGGACAAACCTGGCCGCGGAAGAAGCCGCCACACAGGCGAATCAGACCGGCGCAGCGCCGGCGCTACATCTCGAAGTTAGGGACGTGATTATGACCGAAGAGACTGCAGAGTTGGTCCGAATTGTAGGTAACGCGATCCGCTGCTTGCACCGGTTCAACCACTGCGAAGTGTCCAATATTCTCATCGCCATTGCGCATGCGTTGGGTACGTTGCCCCGAGCTTCTTTGGAGTTCACGGCCGCCTTCACTGACCTGTTTATCAAGTGCATCGTTGATGCCCTGGAGCCCTCCCAGCAGAACCTAGACTACCGAGCTGGCGGAATTGAAGGTGAGCATCGTGGCGACCAGAAAAACGGAGTTGAAGGTTCGCGAGCTGGAGATCTCAGGGGCGGAGAGCCCAAGGGCGGAGATTCCGGCTGGCTGCGGCATCACGGTCGCTTCCGACTGGGGACGGAGTTTGTCGCCTGTGGCATTTTGACCCACTTCAAACTCCCGCACCATTGGCTGCGAAAGCTGGCGCAGTTGCCCACCCGCACTCAGGCTTACTTGCTGTGGCGTATGTGGGTACTCATGGCAACCATTGAGGCGAAACACCAGGCCAAATCAGACGTATCTGCTTTGTTAGTGAAGACGCGGCGCGTGCTGAGCGGCAAACCCAAGGAGTACCCAGCCGTCTTCCCGTCCTGGGACTCTGCTGTCGCTCTACTCGGCTCTAATGCTAAAGTCTTCTGCACTGCCGCCGAATATTTCGACATCAGTGTGCCCGGACGCGCGCCTGCGTGCGCGCACACGCGTGTGCACACACATTTGGTGGGGGACGCACATCCGATTCTGGATACAGTTGCAGCAGATGCTTTCGACCGGTGGCTAGTGAATGAGATAAGCGACTCCGCAGTGCTGCGAGGTCAGGAGCTGGAGCAGGTGCGCCGATACAGCCGGCTCATTGGAGTTTGCGTCATGCTGACCAAGGCCAACCGAATTCAAACTCCCGTCGCTTTTCTCTACGCCGGAAGCCACCGGAATCCGGTTCTGCTTACCCTTGCGCTGCGCTGGAGGAAGAAAGCGGCTACCAACTTGCTGCTTCACGACTTGCAAACCATTTTCGAGTGCTTTCCGGATGATGACGACGCTTTCCGGATCTGCCAGGAGCTACAGCCAACGGTTGTCGCCAGCTCCTGCAAAATCCACACCGTGAAGCTGCCGAGCTCTGTGCCGCCACTGCCTGTTCGCGGCGATGACAAGCAGCAAAAGACAGGCGGCGAGAATGCTGACAGGACGGATAGCGCGGGAAGGAGTAAAAATGGCACGGAAGGTCACGCGGACGAGGGTAATGAAGCAAAGGCTGTTGACACAAGAGGCGGCGATGCAGAGGGTGGTGATGGAAAGGGAAATTCGCATTCGGGGCGGCATGGCGGGTCTCAACGAGTATCGTTGGCCGTGGTCTCTGCCTTTGTGGCGCAGGCTCTGCCCAGTCCGGAGTCGGCGGCGCAGTTGTTCAAGTTCCTGCCTGCAGTGCGGCCGCGGCTGCAGTCGCACTTTGCGATCGATTGCACGCGACACCACAGCCGGCCCTCGCGCCACGAGAGCTCGCGCGGGCTTAGGGCTTTGTGCAGAGCCTCCAACTGCAGAGCATCGAGCTGCAGAGCATCGGGCTGCAGAGCATCGAGCTGCAGAGCATCGAGCTGCAGAGCATCAGGAAGAGCATCGAGCTGTGGAGCCTCGGGGTGCAGAGGGGGGGGATACGGCCGTGGAGGGAGTCTTGGTCGCGGGTCGAGTTGCGACGCGGGCGGTCGCTCGCGGAGCGCGGACTCGGCGGACGAGAGCGAGGGAGCGTGTGCGGCAAGGTCGGTCTGCGACTGCCGGCAACGGAGTCCTCGTGCTGGGCCGATTCCGGATTCGTCGGCGGACCCCGTCAAGTGGGTTTTGTGCGGTCGTGGTCGTCAGGGCTGGGCGCTAGTCCACGGGCTGCTCTTGGAGCAGGGTCTCTGCGAGCGTCTGATTCTGTCCGACTCCACCGAAGCTGCTGGTGCGCTCCTGATTGAGTACTGCCGCGACCTCAAGGCAGCCAAGCACGTGTTCTGCGCACTCCCGACGCAAGCGGCCTGGCTGCTGCGCCAGTGCGATGCCTGGCTGACCGTCCACAGGCACCTGCTCGCCGACGTTTGGGGCTGGGAGCCCGTCTGGCGGCTGGTGGACACCGTCCCAGACGCCGAGGCCGCGGACGGCGACTCGCCACCCCAGTACGACTTTTATGGCGGCCCCGCCGACAGGTCCGGGGGCCCGGCCGCCTCGTCTAGCGCACAGCCGTCTGCTGCGCAGCCGTCAGGTGTGCTGCACTCGGTCTCGGCGCAGGAACGCGAGGGGTTGCACCAGAAGCGGCAAATGTTGGCCAAGACGAGCACCTTGGACGAAGGCGACCCTTTACGTGAGTGGGACAACAACTTGCCTGAGGAGCAGCCGCGGCGCCGCACTGGACGGACGAACGCGTTCGACGCGCGCGGCGTGGTTCGCTACACCAGCCTTACGCTGGTCCGCGAAATGTGTGCGCTCGTTGCGGCTTTGACGCGAGGCACGCGCCGCCAGGTCCACGACCCGCTCTTCAACCTGGCCCTCGTCGCCCTGGCCGCCTTCTCCGGCTGCAACGCGCACACTGGTGACGTCGAGTACACCCTGGAGCCCCCCGCCGACGCCCCTACGCTCTGGCTCCACGACCTGCTGTGTCAGCAAACACTGTGGCTAGCCAACCTCTACAAGCTCTACTTGAACGCGGTGCAGCCCAACAGGCATAAGAAGACCAACTCACCAAAAGACCTCTACATCGACTGTAACCAAACCCCTGTCCCAACCCTCCTCTCACGCGGTGGTCTCCCTGATGCATTGGTCTCCCGCTCATACAAAGTGAATCAATCCTCTTACAGTGGAAATCGTCGGCTGTCGCATTATGGTTTGCCAGCAGCTCCGTCGCCTGTGTCTGAGTCGCTATTTTTCCCTGCATCCGATGCGGACAGAGTTTGGCGGCGCTGCGAACCCGACTGTGGTCTTGAACGGAGCGCAGGGGGCGTCCATGTCTCCCGACGGCCGCCGCAGTTTGCTTTTCGGGAGATCCGACGGACTGGTGCAGGTGTTGGCGACGGTGACCGAGGCCTTGAAGCAGGCGACCTCCGACGACTATAAGTCCTGGCCGAAGAAGCACCGACGAGAAGCGTTGCAGGCCGCGTTCGTCGAGTTCTGGGAGGAGCTGCGAGACAGGGGAGTGCTGGCGCAGCTTTTGCTAAGTAAGCACGTGTGTTCAGTTGGGGTGGGGAGTCACTACAGGGGGGTCACCGTTGGACGGGGGGG